ATAAATGCAGCATCTTCCTTAGAATTCAATGCAAACTCAGCAGGACCGCAAGGTGGAGACGATTGCTGGTTCGTAGCCACGCCCCCTCAGATATGAATTGTTTGAGCGCAACATCATCAACAGATCAGGGGAGCCTGCTGCATCTGTTTCTCCAGAGAACAAAAGAGCCAGCTTGTAGAATGCTCGTCCCATTTTATGACTCCTTCTTGTGAAATTCACAGCTTCTGTTATGAAAGGGGCATAAGGGCCACGAGATTAGAACACGCTCACTTGCCATTGGGACTTTCTAATATGAGCACACCAATCTGTATATATTGGGGCCTTGACAGTTACTAGTAGAAAAAAATTAAAATTACACGTACTGGTTCTACACAAACATTGCCCGTTAGAATCATGCCGAATCTCCCATGAGCCCATTTATCGTAAATGTTGATGAGCTCTTGAGTTGGAACTCCTCGTTTCGACGGATTTTTCGCATCCCACGTACTTATCCGTTCTGTCAGAGCTGCCTAAATCTTGTAAAGTTTGAAGTCAACGAAGACCTCTTTTAGGAACTAACCTTGAGGAACCTATTCTGCGCAGTACGACCGTTACGGAATGTGAGCGGTTGTCCAAGAATAACTGCATCGGTTCGTGAGGCCGGAATGCGAGCATGTATCAGCTTAATAAACTTGGTATAATCATTAATTGGGAGTGGAAGTTGCACTCAAATGTATAGCTCTTGCTGAAGCTGCAATTATATTCCACGCCTAGCAACGGTGTGGGATACTGCTCACGGAATGCAGGCGCGCGAAGAAAGAATGACGTGAACAGTAAATTGGTGCATCCACAGTATCTCGCGCTGTAATCGCCTGCTGTCAGAACCCACATTACTTCGACATGCAATTATTTGCTATCATTTCCTAGCTGGATGTCCCGATGTCCCTGCCATACTCCTTCCAGTTCGTTGAAAGCAATTTGAAGTCGGCAATTTTCCTCGATAAAGTGTACTTCAAATCAATTCAGTTTAGATTCCCTACGCTCACTACTGATAAAGTTCTTGAGCGTCGCTTCTTTTAATCGCATGCATTAGACCCGTTTTATGAACTACGATAGTCCTGTTCCCGCCAACCTTCGAGATGTACCCTTTTCGCAGCTTTTGCTCCTTGAAAAATGTGGGCAAATGAAGCTGACTGCGCCTCGCCGAATGAAGCTACCGCCTCCGGCCCATTGCTCCAATCGCCCAAACCGTAAGTCCATTTTGAAGGCGCTAATTGCACTGATTGCTGCATTAATAAAAAAAGTATGACAAGCTTTAACTTTCTAGTATCATCCTATAGAGAAAACCAACTAAAGTTTAAATTTTGATCAAATGCAACCATTTTTGCATTTGAGGCAGCTCAATCAATAAAAGCTTCGGGTGTTTTTCGCGGAATCGCCTGATATCGCAATCGTGCTTGTTCCAGTCATAAAAACCCGCCTATAAACTAAAGAAAAGAACAACAAGTTCATATCGATCATTTCGGTTTCTACCGTAGGTTCACGGCTCCAGTTTTCCACCCGAATTTTCATTAAAATTTTGTCTTATTCTGCTGTATATATACGTTGGCATGATTCTCATGCTCTCTGACGAAATTATGAGCGACTCGTTCGTAGCCTCCGGACCAAACTGATGGGAAAACTATGAAAATTTGCCGTCTTCCCTGCTGTCAATGATCATACTGCCCCATCAATCCGAATTTGTTCGACACTAGTGTTGCGCTGGCCTCTCTTGATTTGACACTTTCTTTGCTCTCGCGTCTTCAACCAATTAGCGCAGAGCAGGAGCCTATCACAATGCCTTCGGCGCCGAAGTTCCAGAGCAATCATATACATGGCTCGCCTATGTAGTGTAATATTAGTCTTTAATACACCTTTTGTGAAGACGGCCAGACGCACTCCACCACTAAAAGCAGTACAGCTCAGATACGTTAAGACACTTGCATATGTTGCGGCGATTAGGTCGAACGCCGTACCCCCCCCCCCAATGCCGTTAGGTGCCTCCACCATTTAGCCTCTCGGGGGCGGGGGGCAAGAGGGGTGTATAGTACGGAAACAGGGAAAAACCACGAAAAGTCAACAACCTCTTAGATAGCCAGAAGATAAACCAGCGATCAAATTTGACCACCCCCGTCTTGGGAAACCCGCAGCAATTATGTGCCCTGGATACACTATCCTTTTTATTGAATGATAAAACGAAAAAAAAAAAGGCAGGAGTGCGTCGAGTTTTCCGTCCGGTATATATGTGTGTGAAAGAGCAAAACTATTCAGCGAAAAAAGTATTAAAGCAAAAAAATGTAATACAAATATTAAAAGTAAGGGGTTATCGGGGCCGGAGGTCAAAGTTTCCGGCCCACTAAATACAGTGAGAGAACGTTTCGCGACAAAGTCTGCTACTTTGCGAGAACACTCCAGAAGCGCACTGGAGCAGGCGTGCAAAAAAATCCAAGTCTATTCCAAAGAGAATTTCGATCAACTTGACATAATCTTCCAAAAACGGGGCAGTATGGGAAAATTGCGTCGCAGGCTTTCTTGTTTCCTTTGTTAAAATATTGGATTAGGGTAGATTTTACTGAAGAACCCTGATACGTTCACAAGCAACCATTCCACACAAAATTAAGATGCGGAAATAATCAGCAATCTACTGTACCTTAGATTGAACGGATATGAGCAAGTTTCTCATTGTGATAGGATTCAATGGTCTTGAAAATGAAAATCGCATAGTTACCATCGGAGCCTATTCTGAAAAAAAAACAGATATGCTCCTTTGCTAGATCAGATATTGCTAAAGCAAGCAAAATTGTGGCATACAAGGAGTCACTCTGTCGACGACAACAATTGGTGATAGTTTCAGCACGTCGCAGGAGAAAAATACACGTTGATTGGTCGTTGGGACGCCCACAAGGGATTCCCCCACGTGATAATGCAGCTGTGAACGCAGCAGAACACATTGTGAGAAATGGTGGAACAATTGAATGTATTTGATGAATTTGACCACGTGCGTTGTACTTCTGGCTAACGATACATTACTCTGAAGTCACCTCAATCGAAAAAGCGACCGGGTGTCATTGATTTACCCATTGAATGTTCAGAGGTGATCGAAACCAGTCACTAGTGACAAAGCCCTGACCAGGCCACATAGTCGAAATGGATAAAATTTTTCTTCAGCTTCCTTCAGTACCAGGCCCTTTCTTCTTCCCCATTACCCTCGAGGAGAGGATCTCAAGACTTTTGCCGGAGAGGACTGGAATATCAAGGCGACAACTTCAGAATGGTTTCAGGTGCAAGACTCATTCTCCTGTTCATAGCAGATGAGTGAAAGGATAAAGTCTTCGCCGTTGATCAATCCCTTTGTGGGATGCGGCACGCATTCTACTTCCATTCAGAATCGTAGTGGCTTATTGAATGCGATGTGGCCTATACAATGACTTGCGGGGGCCAGCCGATGTACAAGTCAGTGTTCTTATCCTCCCAGACGAATCTGGTACCAATTTACCGTCCCCGGAGGGTAGAAGGCTTGGTTGGCCTGGGCGGGCGACCTGGGATTCGAACCCAGGACCGCGCGAGTGGTAAGCGCGCCCGTTGTCGCACACCACCTACAGCCTCAGCAGATTAGTAGAGGAATTTAACATCGAAGAGTTAAGCACCCCTCCCGATCTGATCGGGCTCGACTTTCTCGATCAACTATCAAGACTAGCAATGCTGCCGCTCCCTTCAAATGAAAAAAACTCGGCAGACCGAATACGACCGCCTTCTCCCCCAGTGACCAGATACGACTCTCTCCTTTCCCGTCCTACTTCCATCCGGGAATTCTACAACAGTGATGTACCTGGCGTGTAACCAGTGTACGCATAATTTAAGAACGATGCTTCAGAATTGTAACAGGGTCTTTTTAGAGAACCATTTTATAAGGACTCGACAGCGAAGTCAGAGCACCATTAAACTGCTGCTGTTCGCCTGCTTTTTGTCGAATAACAATCAATGAAAAGTGCACCCCCCTTCTGCGGAGAGCACCCGTCGAATGAGATGCTATTTGTCACGTACACTTCCTAATGATCATGCAATTAATCGTCCGCCATCTGCTTATCAAAGAAATCAACACCACAAAAACCACTCTAACCGATCGGGAGAATGGTTTCGTACGGAAAATGATACAGAACTCTGGTCTCTCTTGTTTTATATTATGATGAGCAACGCATTGTAACGGATAGCGCACTCGCCCGGAAAGCGTGAGGTGCGGGTTCGACTCCCGCCTGGGGCACGACTTTTGCCCACAACTCAGCATTCTTGTGATATCTGCTCTCATGTTCTGTCCCAAATATACCAATATTCACTCTGAATTCAACTCTTTTCAAATCAAATCCACCACACTTCCTACATCGGGCAGTTGATTAAGTAGGTTACGAGAAACATCACGGCAATCTCCGCCCCCACCCACGCCTACTTTTCAGCACATTCATGATTTTTAAGTTTTATTCTATAACTTTCTCTTCTGCGTCTTTCTTTTGACTTTTGCTATTTTGCACAACCAGACTTACAACTAGAGACAAGAAGCTAACTTCAGTATTACCGCCACGCTACCGTAATCCAAAGCGGCGCCCAGTTAATTGTAACTCCGCAGTGGACGTACGTATAACACTGAACTTTACGCCAGTACCACTACGAGAATTGTGCGGAAACGCTTGCATATACTGCACTTTCAAGGATGGACGGGAATTTCGTGCACATTTCACTTATGCTTTCTTTCGTCTCGACATAGAGGTTCTATGTTTGGCATATGCATGCCAAACATATAGAACCTCCAGATCGAGACACCCCCCCCCCCCACCACCCCCCCAAAGGTTCTGTCATTACCGTTGACCATACTACGCTTACAACGCTCTTTTCCAGCTATTTGCACTTGGAGAATAATTACCTGGATATAAAGAGCCAAATTACTTTTCACTTACTCCAGACCAGATATTCTTTCACAAGTGGTTTCCCAACTTATTGCATGAAATTTCACTGCATGCCTAGTGATTGGAAAAGCGAAAAACGTCACTATCACTAGACATAAAAAGTAGTGATCTGATTACTGACATGACATTTTTCGTGACGATACCATTTGGCGCCAGTTTGGTGCAACTACAGTTCAGACTCAGTTCGCTACAGACTGGTAGTTAGATTGGAGAGGTAATCCAGGGTCTCGAGTACAAACGCGACTTGGTCGTTGGTGCTGAGAAGAAACTTCAGGGTTAGGATCGTTACTGGCAGTACCAAGTACTCTTGTTGACTTTTTGGTAGCAAGTTTCTAACAGAATTTCCTCATTTTTGGCGAACTGCCCAAGTCTCAACTTTGGCTTTCCAGTTTGCAAATGCTTGCTCTACTTCAGTGGATGATTTCACTAATGTAGCTAGGTTTTGAGGAAAAAAATTTTCCCAGGTTGAAAAGTCGTAGTTGTGAACGTGACCAACTACATACAGGTACCACCTATTCCACCTTTCGAGGCGATGAGGCTAATAAGTCGGCCCTAGTATCACCTCAATTTAATGTTTACTTTAGCGAACTTGGAAAGCTGTTTCTACTCTCCCCCCCCCCCCTCCTTGTTTAGCACCAAGCGCGCAGCAGCGCCAAAGTGCTTGAAGCAATGGTAACAGAAAGATAGATCAGGCCTATCCTTACATCGAAGTCCTCACAGCGACATCCGAAACACACCAGTCTTCTTCCACCCAGACAAAGGAAATTATCGGCGTAGTTTCAATGCCCGTGCTGATGTTTTCAACGCACCTACGACAGACGGACAATTTAAAGGGCGCTGTCTTAGGTTACGGTACGTGGCGGTAATACTGAAGTTAGCTTTTTGTCAACTAGAGTTTTAGTACAGCGACGTCCGGGCGACGCCACCCGTTTTCAAGGGATTTGATGCGAATTTCTAATTTTTATAACTTTTTCTGCCATCAATGTTTTTCACCCACTCTTCACACAACAAAGGAGCTAATTATGTACTGGCACAACAAGCTCACCCCACTAATTACGCTCACTTTTGCGTCTGTTTGCGAAATTTCAATCCTTTTTTAGGAATCCACATTTTCGGACTGCTAGGGACAGCCACCCACTATAAGAAGCCCCGTATTTCGCAGAAACCGCCCACTTTCAAGAAATGGACACTTTTTCCAACGGTATCGCACTATTGCAGACATTTCTCTCCTGATCTACGGAAAACCAGAATACAACAGCAACTTTATTTAATTAGATTTTCGTATGGCATTACGCCATGAATAGCTTCATTTCTTTCAGGCTTTCTCTTTCAGCTTGCTAATGTGCAAAACTGTAGCTTCTTTGAAGTTCATCGCTTCATAAGGCTCACTTAAATCAGCAATGCCTTCACAAACACTAAAAGAAATAATGAAATCAGTGGAGTAGTTCGCTTTAGTACATCAAACCCCGCTTAGGAAGTGAAAAAAATGGGAAGCGAATTGACAGTAAAACAGCCGCGGAGGGCAGGAAGGTTTGGTTGGTATGAGCGGAACACAACTAGGCCTTGAACCCAGAGTATGTGCTTGCTAAGGGGCACCACTACCATTTGACCAACTCCACCTTCCCGAGCACTTGAAAGAAAGTAGTACAACTAACTCTTTTACTTCAGCAAACGGACGTTTACCCATCTGTCCCATTTGAGCATGACTGGCTATGATAGTAAGGAAGAAGTCATCTTGATTCAGCTGTGAATCGGCAGCAGAGTAGCATTTACCACCGAGAATTTTTGCTGGTAAGTCTGAAAACTACTTCACATAGTAGCTATATACAGCAACGGGAAAAAAAACTTGGAACAAGCCAGAGTCACACGTTTTCTAACAGTTTTGCCACAGCTCCTTGAAACTGCCCCTGGAAATTTAGTTTCCTCAGAGTGAGTGCATCTGAACATGCTGCTTTCAGGAACGGAATTGCTTGATCAAAGGCGCAGTCAGGAGTCAGGACAGAAATGGTAAACGGACACGTGTACGAAGCCTCTTAGTTATTTTTGAATTAAATTATCGAAAGTTTCCGAGGCTCCGAGAAAAAAAGCACTGTATTTAATAGTAAGACGAAGTATAAAAAGGAAAAGCAGGCGCACTCATCGTTTGGGATTCTTCAGAAGGGATGAAAATTTTTTTGATAGTTGATTTTTCTTCTTTTGCGGACACTATATGCTGTAAAGGAGGGGGGGGGGGCATTTGTCTCTTTGTCTCCAGAGAAGAAATAGCGGCGTTGGGGCAAACTTTTCAAGGTTGTTGAGTTTTCGCGGCTATTTACCCCTCCCCCCTACTCGACAGCTCGGTGAGGAGGGAACTAGGGGTAAGGGGTCGTTGTCCAAAATTCCCAAGCCAAGGATTTACCCTGGGGAAACACTTGGAGAAGCCTGCCCCATCATTCGATAAACCAGCTGAGACAAACTCATGATCGCCGAGCATCTCTATGGAGCACAACGTCCCAATGCTGTGGCGGTCGGTAGAAAGGTTCGGAACTTTACTGCACAAAAGAATCTTGAAGGATGGACCTTTCGAAGTTGATGAACCGTCACTGCTCAGGATGCGGCTCGCATTCCACTTCCATTCAGAACGGTAGCGGCTTTCGAGTGCGATATTGCCCATACAGTAAGCTTGTGGAGGCCAATCAATGCAACGTCAGTGTGTTTATCCTTCCAGACATGTCTGACGAAAGATAGCTAGCCCAACAGGGATACAAGTCCAGTTGGCGCCGTCGGAGCTGGGATCCGTAATTTGATCCTCTGACCTGTGCTCGTTGGCGCGCTTACATCTACGCCACCTCCGCTCTGCCAAATTAGTGATATTACACATTATCTCACTAAACACTGTTCCTACTACTGTTCATTTAGAGAAAAACGAATAAGTAAAACTGGTTGAAAATTTAATTTTTTTGTCGTGCTCCAAGTTTTTTTTACCGTAACTAATGGTAAGCGTGATACTTGAGTACGAAATGTCACTGACCAGGTTCCGCAGTGACCGGTCTTCCCAATCCTATACCGTCAGTTGCATTTTCTTGGATAGCCCTTATCATAGCCTGCGCGGTTCTGAAGCCACCCGTCAAGTATACCACAGTATCCTTGAAAACCGGGCGTATCTACAAGCAGTGTTTTATCACTATAAAATCCATTATTTTTGAAATATATGATATCAAGTTTCAAGAAGAATAAGCAAGCGCAGTTACGTGTAAATTAATGATAGCGACACAGTTCAGATCGCAGCAGAAAGGGGCGTGGCTATCTAGGGCGGCATTTTCAATGACGTATACTGTGCGCAGGGGATAATGTAGTGAGTGTCTCGCTCAAAAA